TTAATTGTGTGTACATCCACTTTACTGACTTATTTGTGTGTACATCCACTTTACTGACTTATTTGTGTGTACATCCACTTTACTGATTTTTTTTGTGTACATCCACTTTACTGACCTATTTGTGTGTACATCCACCTTACTGACTTTTTGTGTGTACATCCACTTTAATGACCTGTTTGTGTGTACATCCACTTTACTGATTTTTATGTGACTACATCCACTTTACTGACCTATTTGTTTGTACATCCACCTTACTGACTTTTTGTGTGTACATCCACTTTAATGACTTATTTGTGTGTACATCTACTTTACTGACTTTTTGTGTGTACATCCACTTTACTGACCTATTTGTGTGTACATCCACTTTACTGACTTTTTGTGTGTACATCCACTTTAATGACCTATTTGTGTGTACATCCACTTTTCTGACTTTTTTGTGTGTACATCCACTTTACTGAATTATTTCGAAGAAGTCCACAGTTAGTCGACTCCTACGACATGCATGTTGGGGAGGTAGTGGATCTATTCTTGTTCCCCCCCCCCCCCCCATGTTGCCCCGCAACCCAGGCGAGAAGTTTGTCATCTTTGAAGTATAGAGTTTGAATATCAATCGAGATAGGAAATTCTTTAAAATTCCTTGTACTGCCAGTCTGAAGTGGTTACCAAGATCTGTGACAGTCTTCCTCTTCTTCTCTTCATTCTCTCTGCCAATGGTTGTTCAGTTGACAAGACCATAGGCTTCTGTGAGGTCTTTGGTACGAGGCCTGTCTCCTGTTGTTCTATACAGCCTGGTTTCCATTGGAATGTCAAGAGGCCAAACCTGGGATCCCTCTACTGCATGTAGCGAGCCTGTCTATAGCACAAGTACTGTATTCTATGGGGGCCTGTCCACGTCGTGCTGAACGCATCATTGTATCTACTGCTGATCCTTTATGTACAGTGCAGACCTTTTAAGGCGATCTCAGATGAGGCGAATTTCTGTTATAGGGAACAATTTTTTTTTTAATTATTATCGGCAATACTTCTTGCTTGAATTCTTATCTAAATAAGAGGAATTTCTGAAAATAAAAACCAAATCTTGGGTCGCCGGTAAGCCCTTATCAGGTCTGCACTGTAATGTAATCCTACATCTGTAGATTAAATCCGAATGCCGGTCTTAGATCCTCCGAACGCCGAAACAAAGAAAATACGCCATGTTATTTGGCCAAAACATTTGATTTATCCACTACCTGTAAAGTTCAGTATTGATCCTGTGATGCGCCACTAGTATGGCTCATTGTCCCTAACTGTCGTTATTTCTGAACCTAGTCAGGGTTTTCTCCCTTGGTCCTGTTGGTCTGGTGGGTGTTCCGCTTTGTTCTGCGTATCCATCTTCCTTTGTCTTGTCTTCTTCTCGTTCACCAGCTGTAAACTCTGGCGGAAATTTCTGGTTGTTCATCCACTTCTGGACGGCAGTCCTGTTCCAGAACCTGAGTGTTGCGTGTGCATCCGTTTGACAGATCTGGCTCATTTGTATGCAGACTGCTGGTTCCTTGCCTCTCAGGCAGATGCACTCCAACTTCGAAGGAAGCTCCCAATTAGTCGACTCTTACGGCATGCTTTTGGGTAGGCGGTGGGTCCATTCTTGTTTTCCCTATAATAGGGCCACGGAACCCACACGGGGTCCTTTGTCTTGTAAAGTGAAGTAAAAGTTTCCTTTTCCACGCCTTAAAGTGTATTGGGAATGTAGGGCTAGACCTATATTTGTATAGACCAATCGGTTCTTGGTGGGTGATGTGGTCAACATCATACCTGTCGACTTTACTTCCCAGGACAGCATCTGATACCCACTTGAGACTGGCTCGACCTGGGTGTCCGGCTCCGTCAGGACACAAACCCACAACCTTCCGATCCGCAGGCGGGCGTCTAGCCGCCAACGCCACGGCAACTTCATTATGTGTCTCGGGTCTGGGGTTATTTATGACCGGGCTTGGTTTTCTTATACTCTTATGTGATGGTGGTATTCTTCCTCAGGTATAAGGTCCTGTCGCCTAACCTTGAGTTGCATGTCCTTGAAATGCCTGTGATTGAGGTGTCTGTCCTATAGATGCCTGTCCTTGTTTGGTTATTAGTGACAGGAAAATGTTTGAGAAGACAAAGTATCACAGCTCAGACTACCTGAAGAATCGCAACAAAGCAGTCACTCAAGCAACCAACAAACAAAACAATTACCCTAATCAAGCAAACAACCATCCAGCCAAGCAACGAAATGACACAGTGAACAACTTATCTTTAAGAGCATCAAGTTTTAGCAGCATCAAGCAAATTCCTTTTACATAGAACATAAACAATACGCAACACGATGTATTAATTTTCTGTGTGCTAGCAACCTGTTGGACATTTTGGTAGCGCCAGACATAAAACACTCCGGGGTTATTACGTAAAGAGGACTGCAAATCTTCTTCTTCGCGTTCGCCGGCTGTAAATTTCCCGCGGAAAGTTCTGGTCGTTTGTTCACCTCTGGACTTTAGTCTTGTTCCTGAAACTGAGTGCACGTCTGTTTTACAGATCTGACTTATTTCTATACAGATTTTTGTTTCCTTGCCTCTCATGCAGATGCACTCCGACTTCAAAGGAAGGCCCCAGTCGACTCTTACGACATGCTTGTGGTGAGCTGGTGGGTTTATTCGTGATTTGCCCAACATTGGGTACCGGCACCCACACTGGGAAATGTCTGAGTAACGCATTTATTTAGTCATGTTAAAATTATGCCGTGGGGACTGCAGTTAATTTCTGCATTCTGTTCTTTTCTTCTTCTTCTCCTTCTCGTTCGTCCGAGTGACGCGATTGCGATAGTGTTATGCTGCGCTTTGGGGAGGTTTGGTACTCACAGCCCATGGAGGTGGCGAGTATGACTAGCAAGACCCGCCCGCATTAAGAAAAGTATTCCACAGTTTATAGCATGGGATTGCAGAACCCTTGTTGTCAACATTTGTGTTTAGTATATTTCTTCTCAGACATTTAGCTCTCATCAATACAAACCACTAATTACTGATCTGAGGGCTAATAGACTGCAATAGACTGAGGCATTTCGAGGGATGGCAGGTAAAAGAAGGACCAACAAGAGAAAGAAAAAAAAATCACAACAGTGTTGAATGGCGGTAAACCAAGAGGCAGACAAACAGGGCGGTGTATACAGGCAGAACTATAACCGCTAAAATTCAGTACCACCTAGAAAAAGGATGGCGACCGGGTCCCCATTGGCTCTCCGGTAGACGACTTTGTCGGACAGTATTTGGACTTGTCTAAGCCATTTTATATGGCGCACATAACCTAGTCACAATTATAAGCTAAAGCTCCCCTTTTGGGGATGCTGGTTGAAAGTGAGTATTTTTTTTTCTAGCAAAGCACCCACCTAAAGATCCCTCTTTTTGCACCTTATTCGCACCGGGCACATGGGAAGAGCGTCCCATATTTGTACAGATCAATATGCACTGGGTGGGTAATGTGGTTAGCATTACGCCGGTCGTCTTTACTTCCCCAGGACATCCATCCTGGTTCCCATTTTAGGCTGGGTCGACCTGCGACGCTCTATACTATGATAAAAATCTACGCAGCCAGCAGTGGGTTTAGGATCGCGGTACGTTGGAATTACGAGTCGGACTCGCAACGCCTAAGCCACGGACGCCGCTGACCTACCTACCTACCGGGAAAAAAGATAGCCAACGACAGATGAATGAAGGCTAGGATATCTGCAACAGTGAACTTCAAAGCATGGAATGCTGAAAAAGAAAACTGTGTGATCGATTGGCTTCTTTAACTGAGGAATTCTGAACACTGTTTCATGATTTCGGTATACGTAATTTTTAGTATATGAGTGTGAATTACAGACAGGCAGAATATCTCTTGGTTGACCGCTGCTTCGTTACAAAGACGTATGCAAGCGGGACATGAATGAAACAGGTATTGAGGTAAAATCATGAGAACCGGATGCCACAGGTCGCACTGCATGGAGAGGAAAGATCGGGAAGGGATTAGAGGCAAAAGAGAAGGTGACTGCAGATAGACTAAGAGCTGAGCTTTTGAGAAGAAAAACAACATGCAATTACAAAAATGGGACTAAACTGCCATGCAGCCACTGTGGAAAACTGTTCTTGTCGCGTGCTGGCCTTGCAAGCGACATTCACCACAACCATAGGTTGTAGTTTCTACACCTCCTTATAGCATAATAATATCGTCTAGTAAGATGGAAAGGTGCCAACAATTATCTTTCTATGTTGGAGCTCGGGCCACAAGTCTGTGACGACGCCCATTTTGAAAATGTTGGCCCCCAAATAAACTTAGTTGAATAACCCTGCTGTAGAGTCTATTTAACTAATGAGTTCTGTAACGGAAAATCAGTACGATAAAGATAATCGCTGATGTGTTCAACATCACACTGGCCGCATTTATTTCCCAGGACTTTACCTGGTTTCCACATTAGGCTGGGTTGACCTGGTAAGCGCTGACAAAAGTCTAACTCAAGGAGGGTATGAACCGAGTACCTCCGGGGCCCGCGAGCGGGATCTGTCGTGGATGTTATACTTTATAAATAAAAAATGGAACATGATTTTGTTACAACAGGATAACTAATTATGTCACTGGCGAGAAGTGTACATACCGTCCGTATTATTCGCTTATAATTCTCACTGTAAAATCAAAATGCATTATTTTACTAAATATAATTGTTTACTAAATACCTAACTAGGTTTACATCTCGAGCACTAAAGCAGAAACTATAATGTGCGAAAGCCACCAGTTACGGGTACTACGATGCTTGCTCCACACTTATAATCTCAACAGCGAACACCGACTATGAGATAAATATATGTGATAGCTCTCTCTAGCTCTGCAGTGTAACCTTTACATGCTAACACTTACACATGCGAATTGATCTTCCTCGCCACTTTATTGTACTGCCAATTTTTAAGTACATTAAGACTGTTTGAAATATATTAATAATATCATATTAATAATAATAATCAACTTCTATCAGCGTCTGTTTGAAATGGTCTGAAAAGCCCCTTTGGCCGCGCGGGGACAGGCGGCGATAACGACACTGAAGATGGTGGTGTGGTCGTAAGTTTTGTCGCTGTAGGGATATGGATGTGAGGGCTGCCTCTCTTCACTAGCGTGTCAACGGATGTCAGTCCTGAGTGATGAAGTTGGGGTAGCGAACTTGAATGTGTGAATGGAATTCCTGGGTTCGAAGCCGAGTGGACTGCTGCTAGTCGGGCGGAGTCCAAAGTGTTCATGAAATGAGCAGAAGTCAGGTGTTGGGGGTTCAAGGTCGAGGACGTTTGCGCCGCCAACAGAGACATGGCCGCTGAGTCCAAGGGAGATCGTAACAACGGGTTGGAAGATACCGGAAAACTATGATGCATTGCTGACGGTGAGCTGATTCCAAATCCTCCTAACCCATTTGGTCTTAAATATGCGTTAGTTAGATTACTGATCAGTTCGGAAGATTGTGACTGTCGGATTGCTTGAGACATCTGAAGTTGTGGATTAGGTGGAAAGCTGTTTGGAGAACGTCCAATGGGCACCCCGGATGCAGCATAGCATCCTAGCGCCGACGGCGGCGGTGGAGGCATGCCGTAAGGGTATGAGGCGGCGGCTGCTGCGAGGTAGGCGTATAGATGTGGGTCTGCGATTCCGTAGGGCCAGGCTAAAGCCATGCGCTGTCTTTTATCCTTCATTCGTCTGTTCTGGAACCAGACCTGAGGGTAGATTAGTGGTACAGGAGTGAGTACTAAATTATATGAATGAGAATGTCTCTCACTTTGTCTCTCTAACTCTTTTGCATTCTTCCTCGTATTCTCTCTCTCCCCCTCACTCTTTTTCTCTTCAACCTACTCTATCGTGTTCTCCCCTCCTATTCTCTCTTTCACGTTAAGTCTTTCTTTGACAAAATTTCTCTTAGTCTACTTCCTATCCCCCCCCCCCCGCCTTTCTCTCTATCTGTCTGTCTGTCTGTCTGTCTGTCTCTATCTCTCTCTATCAATCTATCTATCTATCTATCTATCTATCTATCTATCTATCTATCTATCTATCTATCTATCTATCTATCTATCTATCTATCTATCTATCTATCTATCTATCTATCTATCTATCTATCTATCTATCTATCTATCTATCTATCTATCTATCTATCTATCTATCTATCTATCTATCTATCTATCTATCTATCTATCTATCTATCTATCTATCTATCTATCTATCTATCTATCTATCTATCTATCTATCTATCTATCTATCTATCTATCTATCTATCTATCTATCTATCTATCTATCTATCTATCTATCTATCTATCTATCTATCTATCTATCTATCTATCAATCTATCAATCTATCAATCTGTCCATCTGTCCATCTGTCCGTCTGTCCGTCTGTCTGTCTGTCTATCTGTCTGTCTGCCTATCAGTTCGTCTGTCCATCTACTTATCTCTCTTTCTCATTCATTCACTTTACCTCAGTATCTCCTGTTCCCCCTCTTATTATCTTTCTCTCAGTCCCCTCTCTTTAACTCAGTATCGCGCATTCCCCCTCTACTACTCTCTCATTAATTCTCTATGTAACTCACCCTGACAGGTTATTTAAAGTAACAACTCTTTAACTAAATAAGCATACATTTGTTTATGTGCAAACTCTGACGACCCGTCCAGCACAGACACACATCCAAAATAACTTTTTTTTTTCGTTGTAAATTTAAATAAATCGGACACAAACTACACACTGCATAATTTATTTTCTGGCATATTTCCCTGAAATTCGCTACAACCTGGTATCATTGAGACGACAAAACCACGACACTAGGCTACAACCTCGTATCATTGAGACGACAAAACCACGACACTAGGCTACAACCTGGTATCAGTGAGACGACAGAACCACAACACAGGGCTACAACCTGGTATGAGTAAGACGACAAAACAACAACACTGGGCTTCAACCTGGTATTAGTGAGACGACAAAAGCACGATACCAGGCTACAACCTGGTATCATTGAGACGACAAAACCACGACACTAGGCTACCACCTGGTATCAGTGAGACGACATAACCACAACACTGGGCTACAACCTGGTATGAGTAAGACGGCAAAACCACGAGACTGGGCTACAACCTGGTATTAGTGAGACGACAAAACCACGACACTGGGCTATAACCTGATATGAGTAAGATGACAAAACCACGACACTGGGCTACAACCTGGTATCAGTGAGACGACAAAACCAAGAGATTGGGCTACAACCTGGTATTAGTGAGTCGACAAAACCACGACACTGAGCTACAATCTGGTATGAGTAAGACGACAAAACCACGACACTTGGCTACATGAGACGACAAAAGAAGAAGAGGAGGAGGTGTGGTTTTATAGACGAAAGATGAGAACTGATTGTCACACACAATCAGAAGAAAAATGTCTTGTCAATCTGATTGTCAAAATCAGAAGGCGTCAATCTACATTCTTTGGTCAAGTCATAAGAAAGCAATAACTGGAGTACATCGTGACAGTAAGAAAGCTGGAGGTGAGGAGAGGTGAAGCAGAAACGAGGCCGAGGGAGACCAACAGAGATGATGTTGTTCGGCTTGACATCATTGTAAGGAAGACCATATGTGCCAGAATTGATTGAAAGTACACGAGACAGAAGGTTGTGGTTAGACATGACTACCAACACGGCATGGACTATAAGAGGAAAACAATACTTCATATTGTTACCTTTATTGTAGCTTCTGGAAGGTTCAAGGAAGCGGCGAGTTCGCATCTCTTGGGCCGGGACACGTAGTTTTCCTTGAGAAACTCCTTTTCCAAGCGCCCGATTTGCTCTCGTGTGAAGGCAGTTCTGTAGCGTCTGACCTGATTCTCGTCAAGGTTTGGATCCCCTGAAATAAGAATAAAGACACTATTGACACAAAGGCTAAACACCGAAACAACACAAAAGGTGCACGGGAATTCCCTCTGCTGCAAGCAGAATTGAACACATTATAACGAATCGAGAACTTAAGAACGGCCACTTATTATGAACAGGACACATGAAACACCAGAAATCTTATATTAATATAACATAATGAAAATAATAATAATAATAATAATAATAATAATAATAATAATAATAATAATATTCGGGAAACAGGCAAATATGTTAACGAGCCAAGGCACTTATATACAAACTGATACAGTTATTAAGAAACCCAATATACGTATGAGCACCAAGAAACTATTCATACAGCCTATTCATACCAACACTGTGCTATCAGTGCAAAACGTGGACATTATAAAAGGCTAAACTGCGTAAAATTACGCGTGGAATCTGATGCCTGAGAAAAGCCACTAGTTTAACCATCCAAATCGAGGTTAGAAATGATTTTATTAATGATTCTATAGACTACTTCAACAAACATCATGGAGCTAATTCTTAGAGAAATAGAAGATCAAATGGTTTGGTCATATAGTAAGGATACAGCCAGAATAACTACCTCTGCAGGCGCTACGCATGACAGGATCTAAAATGAGTCCAAGAGGCTGCCCTAGGAGAATATGGATTGATGACATTAAAGAGTTTCTACGGCAACACGGAGTGACAATAGCCATGGCTGCCCACCTAGCAATAGATCGCTTGACGCTTAACAGCAGACGGGGAAACTAATAAATAATAATAATAACAATAATAATAATAATATTACAATATTTATACAACTAAAATACCCTTTCTCTGAAATTCACTAGGAAAAAAAAACAGATACAGTCGGCATACAAAGGCAAGAAAGAAACAAACAAAAGAAATAACGAATTAATCAGGGAAGAAAGAAAATTGAAATTGATTATTAATATTAATTACAATCATAATAATTATATAACTAGTGTCCTTTCAAGGGAATTCACAAGGAAAAAAGATACAGTTGACTTACAAACGCATGATAAACAAAACATTGCAACGAAAGAAATAAGAAAGAAAGAAAGAAAATAGAAATTGATAAATGATATTAATTATAATAACAGTAATTATATAATTAGTGTCCTTTTGCGGGAAGCCACAGGGTAAAAAAAAGGTACAGTTGACCACAATGGCTAGAAAGACAGGGAAAAAAAAACATTGAAACGAAGGAAACAGAGAGAGAAAGAAAGGGAAAAAAATTGAAATTAATTAATAATATTAATAACAAAAAAAAAATTATATAACTAGTGTCCTTTCACGAGAATCCACAAGGAAAAACATAGGCAGTTGGCCTACATACGCAAAAAAGAAAGAAAGAATAAAAGAAATAAAGCAAGAAAGAAAGTAGAAATTGAATAAAAATATTAATTACAATAAAAATAATTTTATAACTAGTGTCCCTTCACGGGAATCCACAAGGGAAAACACACAGCTGGTCTGCACACGCAAAACATACAAATGAAAACATTGCAATGAAAGAAAGAAAGAAAGAAAGTAAGAAAGAAAGCAGCAATAACCAATGAAAGCTTCTGCGATGTAGCTTTACCAAGAAAGAAAGACAGACAGACAGAAAGAAGCGAAGCAGTTGTCGCAAAAGAAAAACAAAAGAGCATAATGAAGACTTGTAAAAAGAAAAACAATTTACGAAGATAACTTTCCCCTTGTTCGTTCACTTGTGGACTCTAGTATTGTTTCAAAACTTGAGTTCTATGTGCATACCCGTTTTACAAATCGTGTTTATCTGTATGCAAACTGTTGGTCCTTAATCTCTCAGGCAGATGCAATCCTAATTTTAAGGAAACGCCCAAATTTAATGAACTTTTACGATATGCTTACTAAGGGCGAATTAAAAGGGTTATAATTGATGCTCTGTGTGTGTGTGTGAGTGTGTGTGTGTGTGTTTGTGTGTTTACTAGTTTTCCCATTTAGTTAAAAAAAAGAGTTTTAAAAATGGAAGCAAACATTTGCGCCTTGCTTCTAAATACATCGTTATTTAAAATGGTGGATACACGTTCTTTCATGTATACTTTCTTGAATATACAGTGCATATTATTAATATACGTACAAGAAAGGAGAGAGAGAGAGAGAGAGAGAGAGAGAGAGAGAGAGAGAGAGAGAGAGAGAGAGCGAGAGAGAAGAGAGAGAGGGAGGGGGCTGCGGGCGAGACAGAAAAAGAGAAATACAATTTAAAAAAAATACTATTTTTTTTTAAATACATTAGAAATTTACATTAATATATTGTCTGCGTCTGTGGCTTAGGTGTTGCGAACGCGCTTCGTAATGCTGGTGTGCCGGGTTCGATCACAGCTGCAAGCCTTGTTCCTTGCATTGGTTTCGGCAGTGGTATCGAGAAGCTCAGGTATAGAAAGCAATGGCAAACTAGTGGACGCAAATTTGCCTAGAAAAACCACAACAGCCAAATTAATGCTAGGGATGGTTCTGCAATGTCCTGTAAAGGATACGCAACTAACTTTTTGTTTGTTTGTTTGTTTGTTGGTTTGTTTGTTTGGTACCTATTTTTAATGTTGTCTCTCACATTTATCATGTTGTGTACATTTAGTGCTCATATGTGTGGTTGTGTGTGTGTGTGTGGAAGGAAAGGTGGTATCTGTGATTGCTGTGTACAAGCCCTCGAGGTCTCGTCACCCTTCACAACCTTGTATTGAAGAAGAGCATTACCGGCAGTTATAGAGACCTACCCTCTCTCCCTTTCATCATCATTTACAACCCTCTCTTCTCGATATCGTTAAAATGCGATAAGCCGCGTCTGTCACCTCTCTGGATACAACACCCGACGTTTGTGTAGGATACTTAACCTCACCTCCCTGGCAGGGCCAACACGTCCTTAATAAAAATCGACTCCCCTTAAACGGCCACGGGTCAGCCGTAATGGGAAGAAAATTGCCCAGTCGGGGGGCGACGCTAAACACCCTGTCGGCCTCTTCAAACCCGGTTGCCTAACGCGGAGCCACGCAACTGGTTTCTGATTGCCCTTGGAGAAAGGCGGTCTTTGATCGGTTACTATGTTTGTGCCATTAGATGTGCCCTCTCTGTCTAGGACAATTAGATAGGGACCTCCCTGATTGTTCCCAAGGCCACGGAGTTTGTTGGAGGGTTGGCCGTCTGCAAGATGTTTAGGGTGGGGGAGGGGAAGTGGATTAGGCAGACGAAAATAGTTGTTTTCTTTCAGTCTTTCATTCTGTTTTTTTTTTTCTGTCTTTCTTTCTTTAACTTTCTCTAGACACTGCCTTCTCTAGCTGACCGTGCTCTAGACTACTATTGTGCATTTAACATTTTCTGGAATGTTGTTGTTTATTTAACTTTCTCTAGAATGTTGTTGTTCCTTTAACTTTCTCTAGAATGTTGTTGTTTATTTAACTTTCTCTAGAATGTTGTTGTTCCTTTAACTTTCTCTAGAATGTTGTTGTTTATTTAACTTTCTCTAGAATGTTGTTGTTTATTTAACTTTCTCTAGAATGTTGTTGTTCCTTTAACTTTCTCTAGAATGTTGTTGTTTATTTAACTTTCTCTAGAATGTTGTTGTTCCTTTAACTTTCTCTAGAATGTTGTTGTTTATTTAACTTTCTCTAGAATGTTGTTGTTTATTTAACTTTCTCTAGAATGTTGTGTTCCTTTAACTTTCTCTAGAATGTTGTTGTTTATTTAACTTTCTCTAGAATGTTGTTGTTCCTTTAACTTTCTCTAGAATGTTGTTGTTTATTTAACTTTCTCTAGAATGTTGTTGTTTATTTAACTTTCTCTAGAATGTTGTTGTTCCATTAACTTTCTCTAGAATGTTGTTGTTTATTTAACTTTCTCTAGAATGTTGTTGTTCCTTTAACTTTCTCTAGAATGTTGTTGTTCCTTTAACTTTCTCTAGAATGTTGTTGTTCCTTTAACTTTCTCTAGAATGTTGTTGTTCCTTTAACTTTCTCTAGAATGTTGTTGTTCCTTTAACTTTCTCTAGAATGTTGTTGTTTCTTTAACTTTCTCTAGAATGTTGTTGTTCCTTTAACTTTCTCTAGAATGTTGTTGTTCCTTTAACTTTCTCTAGAATGTTGTTGTTTCTTTAACTTTCTCTAGAATGTTGTTGTTCCTTTAACTTTCTCTAGAATGTTGTTGTTCTTTAACTTTCTCTAGAATGTTGTTGTTCCTTTAACTTTCTTTTAGAACGTTGTTGTTTATTTAAATTTCTCTGGAACGTTGTTGTTGATTTAACATTCTCTGGAACGTTGTTGTTTATGTAACTTTCTCTGGAACGTTGTTGTTTATTTAACATTCTCTGGAACGTTGTTGTTTATTTAACATTCTCTGGAACGTTGTTGTTTATTTAACATCCTCTAGAACGTTGTTGTTCATTTAACTTTCCCTAGAATGTTGTTGTTCCTTAAACTTTCTTTTAGAACTCTGTTGTTCATTTAACCTTTTCTAGAAGGTTGTTCTTTGTTGTAACTTTTCTACAGTTGTGTTCTTTATTCAACTTTTTCTCGAACTTTTTTTTTTTTTAATTTTCTCTAAAATATTGTTAACATTTAATTTGTTTATGGAATACTCATTAAATAGCCTATTATCTTTAATCTAAGCATCAGCACTATTATCATCTTAGTTTATGTTCATATGCGTTAGAACCAAAGTCTTACTTTCGTGTATGATAATAATAAGAATTTTAAATAATACTAATAATCTCAATGGCAATACACACACACACACAGACACACACACACAGACACACACACACACACACATCCAAACAATGTGTTCAGAAGACAGAAGGAAGATACTCAAGATAGAAATGAAATGTTTGCGTACTTAGCTAAGTGTACTGAGGACAGATCGACTTAGGAACGATGATATCAAGAAGAAAGTCGGCACAGAACTAAAACTGAACTTTATAGTTAGAAAACAAATCAAATTGTTTGGCCACATAACAAGATTGGCATCTCACAGAGCACCACAGATACAGCGGT